TCTGTTGATAAGCAACTATCGGACAATATCTTATCCGTTATTCACTATACTTTATATCAAAAAAAAAAAATAATTACTAAACTTTTGGTTCTTTTTATTAAAACGGTTGATTTGATTTCTGGTTCCGATCTAAAAGTGTCCTATAGTGTTGAACGATTCGCAGAACCTTTTCCGGTTACCTTATCAACAGCTGACGAAATGTCATCAAAGGTAAGAAATAATATAGAGTTTATAGGCATTGTATTATATTCAAACATAACTAATATGTATGTTTACATTCATAATAAGTCAAGACAAAAGCAACCTGCGTTCAAGGGAATTTCCGCTTCCGATGGTAATTTTCATACACATTAAATGCTAATCTGTTCATTACTTGTCAACTAATAGAATTAACATTAATGCGTTAATGTTTGCAGAGATGAAATATAAGAGGAAATACAGAGAGCTTAAAAAAAAGATCCGGGAAATGGAAGAGGTATACCGTTTTATTTTATGGGAGGGATAGATGTAATAAACTGGCATTTCTTTATTTTTCTGGAAATTAAATATAAAATGATAAAATTAATTGATTGCAGGAAAATGAAAAATTGACTCTCAAATTAACTAAAGCAAAAAAGAATATACAACGATTGAAGATAGAACGAAGGTAATATTCCTTTGATAAAAATTAAATATCGTTTACATTGTGTTAACGGTTATCTCGTTTATAGTTTTCTGTTCGATCGGTTAGAACAGTCACAACCCACGAATGAGTCTGAATCAGAGCCATCATCTTCGCCACAAAGAGTGATAGATTCTGAGGAGGAGTTATCTTCGGTGGGTAGTGATGATAATGATGATAATGGTTCACAAACTACGTCAATGAGACAATGATTCAGTAATAAGCAACCTTTGCGAATTCGCGACAAAAAGTTTCATTAAAACTGCTTATAAAGCTAAATTTGGCGCGTTCAAAGAGGGATCAGAGCTCTTACGACAATTTATTGACAAGAAAGGGAAATCAACATTCGTACTTGCGCTTTATATATTTGTATTCTTTTATTCATTGTATCTAACTCTTATTTACCCTTCTGTTATTATTTTCCTTACCTTTGCTGTTGTATTATCTATTCCTCACTTTTAATTCCACCGATCCTTTTTTCTAATTCCTTACAAAACCAATAAACAAAATGCGGATGAACAAAAAAACAAAAAAACATATATATATTTTATTTACTTTTGTGGGTCATCATTTAATTTTCTCTTTCCTTTTTTTTTTTCCTAATATGGGTCAAATATATATATATATATTCATTAAATAATATATTGATCAAATCATGTATACTTGATATATGCCATTTCACAAATAAAATTAAATTAATAATCATAAACTTAGCAGGAAGAGTTACTCGAAGACCAACGTACAGGCAAACGTAGAAGACAAAATAGGGACCCTAATGCGCCTAAACGACCAAGAAATGCTTTCTTAATGTATTGTCAAATGCAACGTGAACAAGCGAGAGAGGAAAATCAAAACAAAGGGTTTCAAGACGTTACTCGAATCCTGAGCCAACGATGGAAAGAACTACCACTGGAGGAAAAAGGGGTTTGTTCATTTCTCTTTCGTTCTTTTTTTTTTTTTTTCAAAATTAGTCAAAAATTAGTCAACATTTTTTAATTTGATTGTGCATAAGTAGAAATACTATGACATGTACAAGCAAGAAAGACAACGTTATGAAAAGGAAATGTTTATATATGCTGGCGGAATAAATTCGGACTATGTTGGTGATGAACTAGATTCCGTAAGTGAGGAAATGGTCGATGAATTAGCAGCAGATAGAGATGCAAACGGCTGGCACGGCCCAGCTCACGAATTAAGTTAGTCAGTTTTGTTCTCTGGGCTGGTGCCGACTGAGCAACCTTATACCGAGTTAATCTAATTTAAATAAACCAATATAATTATAATTTCTGTGTGGAAGCCAGGTGAAAACCAGGCGGAAGCGTCACCATTACATATTAAAATGTTACTGTTAATTTTTGGAATTAAGATCGAATTTCTTAATAAACCTTTTAATCATCAAGAATTTTATCATCATTAGAAAGTTCTTTTTTTTATTTTTACCATCAATGAGAAAATCCATTTTAACGTTTTAACTTTGTTATCGTACTAAACAATTCTGACACCTTTTACATATGTCTTGTATTGATTTGAAGCTTCAATTTTAATCACGATACATTTTTTCAAGCGCATCATATGATACTAAAATCATGAATATATAAATCTAGTCTTAATAACATGATTGAATCTAATTGGTCCGAGTGAAATTACAGCTTTCGAGATGATAACGATAGCCCCCAGTCATGATAACAAATCGCATTTTTTCCTAAAATAATTCATTCAAAATATGATTAAATAATTTATATTTGTACAACATGGATACCAGTTATCGTTGAATATATGAGTGCGGCTAAGGGAAAACCTCGTTCTGTGATCCGAAACATATGTGGTACATATGTTTCGGATCACGGCTGAGTTTAACAAAAAAAACAAGAACGAGGTTATCCCTTAGCGCACTCATATATACAATAATTATTTTTAAAAACCGCATAAATAAACCAATGAAACAGGTTTAACATAGATGCAAGTCGGCCCCATCTGCTCTATTGATTAATCAGTTTTACTATAATTACTTGATCAACTCTTAATATAAAAATTTTGTTGAACGTTTGTCCCATTTCAACGACAATCAGTGAATTTATCAGGTTTTAACATAATCACTAAAAACTGTAATTCGAACAACTGCGATGTATAAAGTTTGTCCTTTTATTATAAAGGCATTATGTTTGTCATTTTAGGATATGCGATTTCCCAATCATAATAAATAATAGATCATCTTTCATGATAATGAAAATTTTTTAAACGAATAGAACTTCCTAATATATTAAATACTAGTATTAGAGCCCGTCATCATATGGTGGTACTAGTGTTGTTAGTCGATCGACTAATAGTCGACTAACTGAGCCATCGGCTAAGTCGTCGGCTTAGTCGACTAAGTCA